GCAGTTCTAATCACCAATCTTTTAGCTTCCACAAGCCTTTTACTAAAATTTCAAACACTGATGTACAGCAGAATTAGTTTGTCCATAATGAAAGATATCAGTGAGTTTTTCCAAGCAAATTCACATTTTGCCTCTATTCTCAGAAGTGATTATTTTAGTGACTAAGGTACTGAGAGATTGTAACTCATTATTTTTTAAAAGAAACCTACTTAAGCTGTATTCTAAAGCTATCTCTTAAAAATGATTAATTTCTCACTGGCAAATTAGATAGGTTCATTTTTTAGCCTGTCAAGGAGGAAGAAAACAAACTTCATTGACAAGAAAAAAGCATTAACATTGCATCGTTGGCAAAAGTACAGTTTAAATATTTAGAAAATTATGACTCATAACTCAAAAAATATAGTGATCTAATATCATTTCCAGACCAGTATCTGGGCACTTTTTCTACTCATGTAACATTAATGGATTGTAGAACCCTGCAGGGAAAGGAAACCTTCCCTCTACTCTTTCAGGGTTCAGTAACTGAGTTTATAAAATAAAATTGAGAGTAGGCAGATTAATAGGAGAAAAGGTATACAGGTGCTTCTTGACTTATGATGGGGTTACATCCTAACAAACCCATAGTAAGCTGAAACTATTATAACAAGTCAAAAATGCATTTGATACAATAAACTCATTGTAAAAGTCAAAACCTTATAAATTGAACCATCATAATTTAGAGACTGTAGAAACGTATTACATAGACAAGGGTATCACATGAAATGAAATAAAATGAAGATTCAAAAACCCAGTGAGATTCTAAAGCTCACATACTTTTGTTGGAACTCCGAAAACAATATCCTGAAGTGAAAACCTAAGAAACAGTTTCAGAAGCAAAGTCTCTCTTTGAGCTTCTCCATTCCTACTGTTTCCTGCCCCTTGTTTTCCCTCAGGCAAGTCATAGAAATTAGAAACCCTTTTCCCAAAGCCAGTCATAAGGCCTAAATATATTACTCTAATCTTTCCCCTACCTTTCTGTGTAACAGCTGACCACAAAAAAATTAATAATCTCATTTTAAAGGGGTCCATCTCCATACCCCGGAGGAAGAAATACTGCACAGAAAATCCAAGAAAAATCTGAAGAGAGGGCTTGTTGAGTTTTTCCCACTCTGTCTAGCAGTACTAGATCACACCCAAGTTTTTGTTCAATAACATTTCTACATGGCTGTTCATACTTCGTTGAACCTAAACATAAAAATGTATAATTTTACCTGTATATTTAGCTCTTCATTCTGAAGGCTCCTGTGTCACATAAAGCTATGATCAAATAAATGTGTTTTGCTTTTGTTTGTTAACCTGCCTTTGTTATAGAAGTGTCAGCTGTAACTCCTATAATGAGTGGACAGGGGTCAATCCTTTTTTTTCTTTCTACACTCTCTTCATAGGGAAGAGAAGAGGGAGTTTGAAGCTAACTTAGGAAAAGTGTAAATGAGGGGCCCTCAGAAGAATAGGTGATGGCCTGAGAAAAAGTCTGACTGGAAAACAGTGTCCTCCCTGTCCCCTCTTCAGGGATCAAGTTTAATCTTCTCTGGTTGATTAGATCCCCAGATTCCCAGGAAAGAAATTCAGGATAGTTGGGTTCCTTTAGAAAATTCTGTCTTTAGGCAGATAAGGGAATTTCAGAGAAAAATCCTCCCTGCATTTGCTGTTCCGCATGTGCCCTTGGTTTGGTGTAATCAGTATACCAAAACAGCATATTTTGCAGTGGCATTTGTTGAAACCCTTCAACATCATTTAGTAGTGTAAGTTAATAAAATTTAAAATATTAAATAAGAAAAATTAATTTATAAAAATTAATATATCACTTATTTTAATACCTTTTTTAATTTTTATAAATCAAGTTTTGAACTGATTATTTCAGAGGAGTAATAGATTAGAACAAAAATTTGATTGCAAAATTAGAATCTAAACAAAAAATTGTAGATTTAATAATAATATGCATAATATACTTATGATCTTTATGCATGTCATGTACATAAGTAGAGTTTCAAGGTGGATTAATGATCATCAATATCGTTCTGACATTATAATAATGCAAACTCAAATGTTACATAAAACTTCTCAGATGAAAAATGCTTCCGTGTTTAATTAAGCCTGCTTTTTCCAGAATGGGTCAATATTTTGGTATATTTTGTGCAATTGTAAAACAAAATATTTATTTGACACTGTGAGATTGTAGAGTAAAGCTAGACTTGGGGAAATGGGGACTATGAACTTCTCCATTAAGTTTCCTTATCTGTAAAAGAAGAAATGTATTAGTTTTTGGAAATTTGGAGCTGCCTCCTCTTATATTAGACTACATCTTATATTGACCTTTTATTCCCTTCAAATAAAGCACCGAGTAGTACATAAAAAGATTCATATTCCTATAAGTTCTTTGCTTGAAGGTGGGATTCCTACAAGCATTATTCATTTTCACTTCAAAACCTATGCTGGTCTGATAATTGTGGTAGACAGGTAAATGTGTCTGTGCCTTACAGACAATTATTTGTATGTCTTATACCATACCATTCTAATGTCCAAAAAAAGATAATTGGATCCCATTCTTAATTTCTCCAAGACTCATGACGATAAAGAATCACAACTCTCTTATCATATTTAGTACCTTACGAGGTATATTTCTCTTTATTCAGTATAAGACATTTGAAAATGAAGCTAACATTATTTTTAATGAAAGCAGTTTTTCAAAGGATGTCTACAGCAATGACATTCTTTTACTTTGGTACTATATGTAAGATCTATCTCCTGGGAAAATACCCAAATAAAGTCATATCTTTTTCCTTAAAGAAACCAAAAAAAAATTTGATCAATCCCATTTGCTTCCCATGAGAAAAAAAAAATAGATAATTGCATGGAGTCTTGACTCCATAATGAGTATTTAATGAAGGATTTATCATAATTGAAGACCAGGCAATGTTTAATTTATAATTCTATCTCAATAACTTTTACTAGTTTTTTTAACCTTTCCCAAAAAGAGTGGAGACATAAGTCAACTAAAGTAATGTAACAAAGATTTTATATTTGAAGGATTAGGGAAAAGGGAGGAATAAAAAGATTTGTTTAACCCGATTCTCTCCAGTTCCCAACACTAACCTCAAATTTCAGTGGGCCCTGTGGGTGGTTTCAAGAAAGGGAAAGTGTGCCTTGTTTTTCCGAGGGTCTCAGAGTATCCTTTGGAAGAAAAGTAGCTCATAAAGTCTAACATTTTAAGACAGAAAACATGGAGGTAAACTGTCACAAGGTTTCTTGCCAAAAAAATTTATTGGTGCTCTTGACAGAAGAGCATAGATGCCTGGTCTGTAATATTTACTATTTCTTATGTTCTTTACACCTTTGGGGCGGAAAGGCTGAATCTTACTTGCCTGGTTTCCAGCAAATAGCCATAGGTCAATTATTACTCATCTAAATTATCATTTTTAAATGTAATTACTTTCCACTTACGTTATTTAGAGCATACATGGTTAGTTTGGCAATCAGAACAAAAATATACTTAAAAATGATTTGTAAATCACAAAAAAATTTTGACAATATATTCTAAATATAGAAAATTCCTAATGAATATATCCAAATGTAATTTTAATCTTCACAGCAGTGAAATGGTCTCAGGTTAATTTAGAAATGAAAAAATTAAACAAAGAATTGCACTCAAAGAGTTTTAAGAACTTGTTTCATAACAGCTTTTCCTTGAAGATTGGTGCAGATATAATTGATTTAAATTAGCATATGATAGAGAGATCAAAAAATTAAAGAATAATTATCAAAGCACATATACATTATTTTAACATTTCACCTGGGTTGGCATGCTGAGTACTTTGAACTGAAGGAGATGGGAAGGGCCTCAGGAGCAAGGCCCTTCTGACCTTCTCCCACTTTCCTTTCTCCAGCCCCTTCGCCCCCAAGGCAGGCCATGGAAACCAGATTTCCTCTTTCCCAAAGCAAACCATGAAACCTAAAACGGTCACTTTCTGATCCACCTCTTGTGAAAATAAGTCATAAGACATTTTTCCAACAGTGTCCTTTCCTATACTAGGGTGAAGGTGTGCTACACAGAAGGCTAAGGAAAATTTGAATAAACAGGCTTTGCTGAGTTTTCCACAGTTTGTTATTTTTAGATCATACTCTTTTTTAAAATCATATTTCTACACAACTCCTATATACAACTGTTGTCAGAATTATCATTCAGAAACAGTCTTCTCTGGGTTTTGAGGTCTGCACTTCTGAAGACTTTCATGTTACTTAAAACTTTGTTAAATAAATTTGTTATGCTTTTCTCTTGTTAATCTGTTTTTGTTGTTGTTATTGTTGTTACAAGGGCCTCAACCATGTTCTTGCAATGAGTGAAGAAAAAACACTACATTTTGACCACTACATAACAAGTAAATTAAAAATTTTGGGCCACAATTTGTTGCTGCAATTCTGTAAATGAACAAGGGGACATCTGATGATTGGTTGATTTTGAATTTTTGCTCACATTTAGGAACATCTCTTCTAATTTCCACTACTGTGATAATACCAATTTGTATGTAGATGCTTTTAGTGGTGTTGCCATAGTACAGGATAGATAGTATGAGAGCAAAATAATAGTAAATTTATATATGTATTTATCATTTATATATAATAAAATTTAAGCATGTCATATTATTTATATATAATATCATATATAAAGCATATTTTTATTATTCGTGCGTTCATGTTTATTTTAAAAGCAATATTAATAAATAGTAATAATAAATAGGTGGTTAGACAAGAGTATTATAACCATAAAGCAATCTTAAAATGAGTATTTAGTGAATAATATCACTAAAGTATGAACTGTAGTTTTTGTTGAAATTTGAAACTCTGTCAATATTTATTGACAATGACAGAATTTTTGTAACTTAGTGTTTTTCTTTTTAATTTATGTATTTTAAAATACTGTGTGTGCCAAAAATATCAGTTTTGTATTTTAACACTATTTTTTAAAAGTCTTTCCACTAGTTTTCCTCTGAGTTGTCATTTTTCCAGGGGCAGAAACTATGACAAATTATCCAATTTCATAAAACTAAAGCTAGTCCCAGTGAAGGCACAATTCATCTATAAAGTGTTCTCATTGTATGTTTCATGTACAGAAAGAAACGAATGTCATAAATGTGTTACAGTTATTTTCTACTTCTTGTTTCTGCAACAATAAAAGGAGGGAGAGAGTTAAACATTTATTTACTTGTCAAACTGGACAAAATTTTTCAAAATGAACAATTATTGCTACTTTAACCACTTTAACAATTTTAGCTATCTAAAGGAAAAAAATCAAAAAATAGGAAGATTGATTTCTGCTTAGCCACTTTATTTTTTTATTTGGTGGGCAGCACATTTTATTCCCCCTAGATATTTACTTCTCTCAGAATTAAGGAGTTATTTTAGAACCATTTCAGTGTTTTCTAAAATTTAAAGTTCTCTAAGAGATGGTCTATTCTATACTTGTAATACACAAGCATTGTCTATGCTTAGGGGTATTTAGATAACAGAAAATATATCCTGTTTAAGTGCTTTTTAATGAATTGATGTTCTTAGGTCTTTATGATGCATCTTCAGTGAAGATGTAAATAGACAATTCAGTCAATAAGTCAGAGAAATAAAAGATAATTATATTTTTTGGCATTTAGAAGGTATAGCATGTTCATTAAAAAATACATTAATCATATATTTTTTGGAGAATAAAGCACTGATTTTATAGGCAGAACAAAGAATAGGTACATTACCTTTATTTTACATATTCACTTCTACAATGTGGAAAGTGACTGAATCAAAAGAAAAGAAAATTTGGATGCAGGATACAATATCTTTCTTAGCCAGCAATAATGATGAGACTTTACAAAGAAGGATTCTTCCAGTTCAGTGAGGCACATTGTGCATATAGAAAATTGCTTTTTTGCATGCAATTTGTATTTTTAGACATTTTCAATATTCTGTGATATGTGAGTTCCTGTTTGTTTGAATGTCTGGCTTTTTTAGTGAGATCATTTCTTATACATTGCTCATGCCATTTCAAACACACCTGTAACTGGGTCAATATTGTTCTGATTAATTTTTCTTGACTATTTTCCTTTCTTTCTCTTTACCATTTAACATGGAATATGCAGAGTTATATTTATGGGAGTATCTGAATTCTAGATTACAATTATCCAAAACATCATTTCCAAATTGACTTCAAAATAAAATTGGCCATCATTTTTTTGCTAATGTAAAATTTCAAATGCAAAATTACTTTCAACTCATTTGCCAATTGTCTTTTTTGAGGCAAAGAAATGCAAATAATCTACATTTTCACATTAATAATATTAATCCTTTATATCAGTGGTTGATGAACTAGATAGTCTAAAAGCCAAATCAAGACCACAGCCTACTTTTAATTTAATTTTTTAAATTTTATTTTAAAGATGTGAAGTACAATTTTGGGTTAGGTATACAAATGTTCATTATGAATGTACCCTTGCTGATGAGGTGTGCCCCCCCAGGCAGTTTCCCACTACTACCAATCCTATTCCTTATAGTATTATGATAATTGTTCAAAGTTCACTTATAAGTGAGAACATGTGGTACTCAGTTCTTTGTTTCTGTGATAGGTCACTCAGTATTATAGATTCTTAGCCCATCCAAGTTGCTGTGAACTTCATGATTTTGTCCTTTTTTATGGCTGTGTAATATTCCATCGTGGATATGTACCACATTTTTTTATCCAGTCTTCTTTCGATGGACAGTGTGGCTGATACCATGTTTTTGCTGTTGGATCACAGCCTACTTTTAAAAAATTAACTTCTGATCTAAAAATGGTTTTAACATTTTTTCAGGGTTATTAAAAAATAGTAATATGCAATGGAGACCTTATGGCCCACAAAGCCTAAAATATTATTAATATATTAAATATTAATATCTGCTCCTTTAAGAAAAAGTCGGTAGACACTTGCTGTATTACTATACACAAACACAAAAGTGTTCCTCTTCTGTGCCTCTATTTCCAGATCTTACATGTTTGAGCTCACAATCTGTTACCTCCTCTCTCTTGTTTTCTAGCCCTCCCTTTCGAGTTTTTAGACACAATCACATTCCACCACAGTATAAATTATGAAGGCTCTAAAATGACATGGGCACTGAAGAGGAGTATGTTGTTGCTTATGTAGATAATCAAATGAATTTAAATGAGATTAATATCTGCCCTTTATTTTTCAGTTCTTTATATTTGTAACCATAATGCTCTTTGTGATTTATTTTATCCATTCAAACCAGCAAACATTTATAGACTACGCATACGGTAAATAAGATACAGCCCCTCGCTCTCCTATGTTTACAGTTTAGTGAAGAAAACATAAAGTTAAGTAGGCATTACAGTATGCTATCATAACTACCACATACTATTATGTAACTGACAGTAGGTCATGGACAAAATCAAATAGTGAATATTATGGAAAACATTTAAGAGACTTGCTTTCTGCATCAGCTGGCCATTTAAATGCAAATTTCTAGCTTCATAAAGCTTTAAATGGGGACAGTGTGATTATTATCCCAATTTCTTCAGCAAAAATAAATAAATAACTTTATAGCAGTTACAGCCTGTTGCTACTTAGAAAAAAGGGAAAAAAAAGAAAGAGGAAAGATGATGGCAAAACTTGTATTTTCATGACAGCAAATCTTTAGACCTTTTGAGAAATCCCTTTAACTAGAAAGCAATTGTTCCATTTGAAAGTAAAGTTCACTGGCATGTCATTTTGAACTTAGAAGCAATGTCAGTTTTTGTCTCTTAAGGAGCAGATGGTCAGTCATGCAGGTCTTGTCAGCAGTAACAAGGCACTTCAGAGTGGAGACCCGGGAGAACAGAAAGTGAATTTTTATTTTACTTTTCAGTATGTACAACTTTATTAGCTTGAAGATTAAAGAGAATTATTTGGTTTTCATTTGCTTACTCTACTAATGATTAAGTATTTAAAAGCAATGCTGATTTAATAATTTCAACTGCACATTCATTCCAAATAATTTTCACAGGTATAGATCACAGTTTTGCTTATTGTAGACAAAGGTCCTTCACTGAGGAGTGATAGACTCTTAAGATGAACTTTGAAATCTTTGAACTCCTTTGAGGTGATATACAAAAGATTGTGGCTATGTATACATTTAGAAGGTGTATACCTTTTATCATGTAGATTCATCTAACTATGTTTTAGATTTGTTTTCTCTGCCTTATGCCTCCTAATTTAGGCTCTCCACATCTCTTACACCAACTGTTTATTGGCTCATGATTTGATCCACTAAAGTTTATCTCTTATATAGTCATTAGAGAGCTCTAGCAACTGTTGAAAATACAAGATGGAGATAAATGGAAAAATTTGTATGATAGCTTGTCAATTCCTCTATTGGCTTAAATCTAAACATTTTAGCAGGTGAACACATTTTTTCTCTTTTGCCTACACTAGATGGCAAGATTTCTGTCTTGCCATTCTTCACTTTGAACTTAAGGTGTTCTTGTCTTTGAAATTTTTCTTCTTATCCTTTTTTATTTTTTATTTCAATAGCTTTAGGTGTACAGGTGGTTTTTGGTTACATGGATACATCATATAGTAATGAAGAAGTCTGGGCTTTAAGTGTACCCATTACCCCCTAGTACACATTGTACCCGATAAATCATTTTTTATCACCACCCCCCTTCTCACATCCCCTTTTCTGAGTCTCTAATGTCCATCATACCCTTCTATGTGGCTTTTCAGACTCATAGCTTACCTTCTGATTTTTCCTTCCTGTGTTGTCACTTAGGATAATAGTCTCCAATTACATCCAAGTTGCTGCAAAAGATATTTTGTTGTTTTTTTATGACTGAATAGTATTCCATAGTATATATACATACCACATTTTCTTTATCCACTGATAAGTTCATGGGCATTTAGGCTGATTACACATCTTTGCAATTGTGAATTATGCTGTGATAAACATGCTACTGCAGGCGTTTTTTTGTATAACCTCTTTTCCTTTGGAAAGATACCAACTAATAGGATTGCTTAATCAAATGGTAGATCTACATTTAGTTCTTTGAGAAAGCTCCATACTGATTTCCATGAAGCTTTATTAATTTACATTCTCACCAATAGTGTTTAAGTGTCCCTTTCACCACATCTGTGTCAACATCTACTTTTTTTTATTTTTTTATTTTTTATTAATGACCATTCTGTTGTAAGGTGGAATTTCATTGTGGTTTTAATTTGCATTTCCCTGGTGATTAATAATGTTGAGTATTTTTTTCATATTTGTTAGTCACTTTATTCCTCCTTATGAGAGATGTCTGTTCATGTCTTTTACCCACTTATTAATGAAGTATTTGCTTTTTTTTTCTGATTTGTTTGAGTTCTTTGTCAATTATTGGATATTAGTTTTTTATCAGATGTATAGTTGCAAATAATGCCTTCCTCTCTGTAGGTTGCTTATTTACTCTGTTGGTTTTTTATTTTGTTGTGCAGAAGCTTTTTAGTTCAATTAAGTCACACATTATTTTTGTTTCTGTTGTATTTGCTTTGAGGTCTTAGCCATAAGTTTTGTTTGTTTGTTTTGTTTTGTTTTTTTACCTTGGCCAATATCCAGAAGAGTTTTGATAATTCTTGTTAATACCATGTAGTTTGACTATGGCATTCTCTTCTCTTCTACAGGAATTGTTCACGAACAGGATGTATTTGCTAATTCTTTGTACCTCTGTAATACTGAGCATATCACTATTAGTATAATTACCACAGTATGTGTAGATTTAATATGTGTATGGGAAAGAGACAGAGAGAAGAGAGAGAGAGAAAATGAGAGAGATAAGGAAGTTTCTCATGACAATGAATTTCTTGAGAATTGAGTCTAAGTTATTGATTTTTGTATTTTGAGCGTAAAACACAAGGTCCTGAACAGCAGAGTTGCTCAATAAATATTCTAAGTGAATTATAAGTGACTGAAGGAAATATTTTTTAACTTTTCATTAATTTAAAAGAATTTCATTCTAATTCAAACTTGTTTATATATATATATATATATATATATACACTCACACACATTAACGACATAATCATACTATTAACATAAATCCTGCAATTGTAATACCTTATTAACCTACCTGACAAACTTTTTATGATAAACATGAAAATCAAATGATCTTATCATATTGGATCCATTTATACAAGCATGTGAATTTATCAGAAAGAAGATCATTTTATAATTGAGGAAGTGGAGGATTAAATTCAGTAGATAGGCTTGATGCAGCATGATAAGGTACCATGTAGGCTTAGCAGTTCTGTATACCTGGGCAAAGTTGCTAGACACCTTTATTTCTCACTGTTTACATCTTTAAGGTGAAATAATAATGATCAATTAGTTCACAGAAAACTACTTTCACCATTGGTATTTTTTTAAGCCAAAGTTCCGCCAATGTAGTTTCCTGATGTTTGAATAAATGGGAGAAAAGGAGAGGAAGAAAAGTAAATGGAATAAAAGGGGGAAAATGAGAATGTAGACTAAAAAAAAAAAAAAACAAACTTAAAATTTATTTGGAAATGCAAAAGATCCTGGACAGCCAAAGCCATCTTGAGCACAATGAATAAACCTAGGGCCATCACACTACCTGATATCAAAATATACCACAAACTTATACTAACCAAAGCAGAATAGTAGTAGCATACAAATAGACACTTAGACCAATGGAACAGAATAAAGAACTCAAAATTTATAGCTCTTGTTTAAAAATAAAGGTGCCAAGAATGCACATTAGAGAAAGGATAATCTCTTCCATAACTGATCCTGAGAAAACTAGATATTCACACAGAAAAATAAAACTAACACCCATCTACTACTATAGACAAAAATCAACTTTAAATGAATTAAAGACTTAAATGTACGACCCCAAACTATGAAACTACTAAAAGAAAACACGGGCTCAGTGGCTCAGCCTGTAATCCCGCGCCTTTGGGAGGCTGAGGTGAGTGGATTGCCTGAGCCTGCGGGTTCGAGACCTGCCTGGGCAGCGAGACCTCATCTCTAAAATAAATCAAAAAAGCAGCCGGGCATGGTAGCTCATGCCTGTAATTCCAGCTACTCGGAAGGCTGAGGCAGAAGGATCGCTGGAGCCCAGCAGGTCGAGGCTGCGGTGGCCGGAAGCGGCCACTGCACTCCAGTCTGTGTGACCGAATGAGACTCCAACTCAAAAAAAAAAAAAGAAAGAAAGAAAACATAGGAGAAATACTTCCTGAAACTGGACTGAACAAGGATTTTTAAAATACCTCAAAAGTACAGGCAAGAAAAACCAAAATTATAAATGGTATCCTATTTGTCTAACAAAATTCTACTTATCAAGAGAGGCAACTAGTAGAGTGATGAGACAACCCACAAACTATATACTTAACAAAGAGTTACTATCCAGAATATATATAAGGAACTCATACAACTGGCCATAAAAAAAACAATTTAAAAAAATAACTAAAGTCCTAAATAGACAATTATCAAAAGAAAACCTATAAATGACCAACAAATATATAATATATGTATATAAAATACAACATCACTGGTCATTAAGGAAATGCAAATCAAAACCATAATGAGATATTACCTCACACCTGTTAGAATAGCTATTATGAAAAAGACAAAGAGTAACAAATATTGGCAAGAATGTGGAGAAAGAGGAACTGTTTTGCACTGTTGTTGGGAATGCAAATTAGTACAGCCATTATGGAAAACAGTAGAGATTTTTCAAAAAATTAGAAATAGAACTGCCATATGTATGTCCCAGCAGTTCCATTACTGGGTTTAAACCCAAAGGAAATTATACCGGTATGTTGAAGAAATATCTGCACTCTGCACTCCATGTTAATTGCAGCGCTATTTTCAATCGCCAAGATATGGCATCAATGTAAATGCCCATCTACAGTTGAAAAAATATGGAAAATATAAGGTACACAAACACACATGCATGCATACACATTCACTCTCACAATGGAATACTATTCAGTCATAAATCAAATTAAATACTTGTCATTTGTAGCAACATGGATGAACCTGGAGAATACTACCAAGGGTGCAAAAAATGTATACACATTTTAAGAGCTGTTATCCATGTATTACTTTTCAAAGTTGAATTGAATTATGGTAGCAATGTGTAGTATGACATTTGCTCAAAAGATGACTTCAATCAAATGAAAACTAGCTCACGTTGAGAAAGACAGGACAGTGAAAGAAAATGATGGAAGTATGGTTGTCTGGAGGAATGCAAGACCATTTCGAAGTAGTGTTTGAAATTCAAGAATGCTGAAGCAGTGCAACTACAATAGAGGTATGAGTAAGCAAAAGAACCTCCGACATGCCTAAGAATTGCATGCAGTCATGATAAGTTTGAGGTACATGGTACTGTGTGTGAGGTGCACAAGGAAAAATTTAGAAGGCCATGCACTGCAACAAGTCCTGTTTTAATTCATCAAAATCAGAAGTGTCTGGACGTTGATGGCAACCACTCTGAGCTCTTCTTGTAATTGCAGAAGTCAAACATGACTGGTAGTCATTGTTTGTTTGTGGGCATATATTGAGTATTACAATTTTAAAAGTTTCTTTTTTATTTCTTAAAATGGAAATACATTTTGGGGGCACACTCTGATAGTCTAGGAGGCACAGAAAGACAAATATTGTGTGATCTCACTCATATGTGGAATCTAAAAACATTGAACTCTTAGAAGTAGAGAGTAAAATAGTGGCATTATCAGAGGCTGGAGCTGGTAGGTGCGAAGAGCACCAGGAAGGGTTGGTAAACTTTGTTGGTAACAAAGTTATAGTTAGAAAAAATAAATTCTGGTGTTCTATTACA